ATACCAGTTACCCCCCCAACAGATGATCCCAGTTACCCGCAGCTGCTCCCAGTTACTCCCAGCAGCTCCCAGTTGCCCAGTGGTTTCCCTTCTGCAGGCCTGCAGCTGCCTCCCAGTCATTCCCAGTTATTCCCAGCTGCCTGCTGGTTCTCTCCCATAATTCTCCACCTGCTCCCTCAGGTGCCACCATCGCTCCTCCCTCCTCCTCACCTGCTCCCAGTCACTCCCAGCAGCTCCAGTCACTCCCAGTGAGCCCAGCTGGCCACTGCATTCTCTTCTCCAGGCCCCCAGCTCCCCCCAGTTCCTCCCAGTTCCTCCCAGTCACTCCCAGCTCCCCTGTCACCCCCACAGGGCACAGAGGATGGGCAGTGGGGTTCCCATGGGACACTCACACCCTGATGGGGCTCATTCCATCCCAATCCCTGAGGGATGGGGACCTGTCACTGCCAGCTGTCACCTCCAGCTCTCACCAGGTGCCACCCTGAGGGGTGCAGGCTCTCCAGAGTTTTGGGGAGAGCCCTCTGGAGGCACTGCCAGGCTGGAGGAGGACAAAGGCTGGGTGGGAAATCCCTGGGGGTGAGGAGGCAGCGGGATGGGGAAAGCTGGAGCTGACAGGAGATGGAAACACTCCCATGGTGTGGGAATGGCAGCATGAGCCTGCTCCTGGTCCAAAAGCTTGGAAAACCAAGCCAAAATCAAGGCTTTTTGAAATTGTGGGGTTATTATAGGATATTTCTGGCTGTCTCTGTCCCCCCCTGTGAGGACAGTGCCTCCTCCACAGGCTCCTTGTGTGGGTTTCCTTTTAGGATCCTGACTCCAGCTGGAGCAAGGATCACAGGATGGTTTAAGGGATAGGATTGGAAGGGACTTTAAAGATCATTTCATTCCAATCCCTGCCAGGGGCAAAGACACTTCCAGAGGAGAGCCAGGACCCTCTCACTGTGACCCCACAGGTCACAGCTGGGGCTGGGCACACTCAGAGAGGACACCTGGCACCAAGCCCAGCACCGAATGAGGGAAATTTTGGGAAATTCAGGACTCCTGGCCCCTGACCAATATGATTAAGCAGAAGCTGTTTATTATTTACATTATACAGTTATTTACACTTTTAAACTCTCTGCACACATTTCTTACTGGTGCCTTTGTCTGGTCCACGTGTTCTGAGTGCTGCTTTTAGAATATGGGGCTGGTCACAGTCCAGCTGCTTTGCTGCTGTTATTTACTTCTTGTGGTCTTGGAATTTGGTTTCTCAGCTTCTTCTTTCTCGTTTAGCACAGTTTATATCTTAGAAACCTTGATGGATTCCAGAGGGCCCTGAGCAAACTCTGATAAGAGCAGTAACAAGTGGCATGGCTGGTGCTCTCTGAGGCCTGAGCTGTTCAGGAAATCTCTGGGGTTTGAACGTGCTGAGCAGCACGGCTGTGCTGGGAGCCCCTGGAGCTGTGATGGTGCTCCCTCATGACGCCTGTCCTGTCCGGTCCTGTCCTGGTGCTCCCTCATGACGCCTGTCCTGTCCCTGCTCCACCAGCTGCTGCCACCAGATAACGCCTGCCTGGGGACACGGAGCCACCCGGGACACGGAGCCACCCGGGACATGTCCCAGTGCCAGCCTGGGGACTGGGAAGGAGAGCAGAGACACATCCCTGCTTGAAGAGAGCAGAGACAGAGCCCTGCTGAGGAGAGGAGAGCAGAGGAGAAACACAGGCTTGCTTGGGGAGAGCACAGACACATCCCTGCTTGGGGAGAGGAGAAGAGAGCAGAGACAAGGCTCTGCTTGAGGAGAGGAGAGACATTCCTGCTTGAGGAGAGCTGACACAGGCCTGCTTGAGGAGAGGAGAGATACTGCCCTGGCTGAGGAGAGGAGACACATCCCTGCTTGGAGAGAGAAGACAGCAGAGACACATCCCTGCTTGAGTAGAGGAGATTCACAGCCCTGCTTGAGGAGAGCAGAGACAGAGCTCTGCTGAGGAGAGGAGAGCAGAGACACGGCCCTGCTTGAGGAGGGGACAGACACATCCCTGCTTAAGGAAAGCAGAGACATATCCCTGCTTGAGGAGAGGAAACACAGCCCTGCTTGAGGAGACCAAAGACACGGCCCTGCTTGAGGAGTGGAGAGCAGAGACACAGCCCTGCTGAGGAGAGCAGACACATCCCTGCTTGGGAAGCGCAGAGACACATCCCTGCTTGAGGAGAGGAGACACTGTCCTGCTTGAGGAGAGGAGAGACACATACTTCCTTCAGGAGAGGAGAAACATGGCCCTGCTTGAGGAGAGACAGGTCCCTGCTTGAGCGCAGACACACCCCTGTTTCCAGCTGGGATCTCTCTGCTGCCTGAGCTGTCCTTCTGGCAGCCGGGTGCTGCTCCGGGCATCTTCACGGGTGTTGGACAGAGCAGGGAAGTGTCACAGAGGGATATTTTTAGATGCTCTTTGTGCTCAGAGAGCAAAGGCAGGCTGTGGTTTAACGGCCATTAGCTGCTGGGCATGTTTGGAAAGCTGGATGGAGCAGGGCTGAGGATCCGGGGACACGTTTGACACCATGGGATGAAGCAGCTTCGCAGATGTGAGGATAATTTTTGGGCTGAGCATCGAAGGGAAGACCCCAAGAGGAGCCTGGATCTGGGCACCCCAGCCTGTTTAGCTGCCACGTGGACAGGCAGTGGTGGCTGATCCCCCAAAAGGACGTGGTCCCATTGTTTGTGGGGTAACATTTGCTCCAGTGGCTGTGGAAGAGGAGCAGGAAAAGAGCGGACAAGAGGTAACGTGGAATTTCACTGGGACCAGAGCCAGCCGAGGGACAGGGTGACAGGTGACAGCACTGTCCCACCAGCCTCTCCTTGGCCACTCTGTCCCCTCCCTCCCAAGCCTTCAAAGGCTGAAATTTCAGTGTTTCAGGCAATGCCTGGAGAGGGAGTGAAGCCTCCAAGGACCTCCAGCATTCAGGGAAGCCCTGAGGGGCATCCTGGGAAGGAAGGGCAGGGGATAGTTTGGGTTGGAAGGGACTTTAAATCTCATTCCAACCCCCTCCCACTAGAGCAAACCCCATCCAACCTGGCCTTGGACACTTCCAGGCATGGCTAAGGCCATCTCCAAGGTCAGGAAGTGCTGATACTTTGGCCCTGCTCAATGCAGAATAGAACATCCCAAGAATTCCAGCTGAGCTCATGAGGAGAGACGGCAACTCCAACTTACCACTGTAGGGGAGCTCATCACTAACTGGTTCATCCACGAGCAAGGAGGTTTCATAAGTCCTGAAAAGATGGGAAAAGAGGAGCTCAGTTCCCTGAAAGGGACGTGGGAAATGCAGGGATAAATCCCACAGAAATGCCTCTCACCAGACAGAGGGGAGTCTGTGGACCAGCACTGTCCTGGACTGTGTAACCTCCTCCTCCTCGTCCTCCTCCAGCTAGTGGATGAGGTGGGCAGGCACAAAGAAGGCAGCTGCCTATCCCAGAGCTCCAGCTGGATTGTCCTGTGTCTCAGATGCCACCACCTCAGCTGATGGGGTCACACAGGACGGGAGAGGAGCTGGGATGGGGTCAGGAGGGACAGAGGAAGCCCAGACTGTGGATGTGCCATGAGCAGGTGGTCCACAGCCATGGCTGCACCTCCCTGGCTTGGTGTGGGGCTGTCCCCATGTGGATTCTGTCCCCACACAGCCAGGATGAACATGGCCAGCCTGCATGGAAGGGAGAGCTCTGTTGTGTGGGTCCATGCCTCAAATTCTGGCTGCTTTTGGGGCACAGAGGTGCCAGGGTGTTGTTTCTGGCTCACCTGTGAGGTGCTTTGTGGGATCATTAAAATGCTAATGGGTTCCTGCAGTGGGACAAGGACTGAGGCCCTGGAGGGACTCTGAGGCTGAGGTGGTGGAAGCAGGATGGAGACCAGGAGATCCCTGGATGGGAGAATCAGGAAGAGAAACAGTCAGCTGGGGTAATCCAGCTGCAGAGCCAGGAGGGACAGTCCCAGAACCCCCTCCTCATGCTGGCTCACCCCACAAAGGCCAGGATTTGTCTTCAGGCAGGGCCAGGCTGCTGTGCCACGCTTGTGGAAATGCCATCACACACCAGAGGCAGTGTGAAAACGGGAATGTCCCCTCGAATGGGGAGTGCTGATCAGCCTGGCATGGCTAGGGTCAGGAAAGGGGGTGGGATGCTGGAAGGGGGCAGGGTGCAGCAATGCTCTGGGTGGGTGGGAATGCCCAGGAGGAGAAAGAAAGAGAGATTTATTGTGCAGGGCAGCGTGCGTGGGCACGGGGAGAACAGAAATACACTGGCCATGACTGCATCCCCTCAGGGCCCTGCAGAAACCCAGAGCTGCCAGCTCCCCCTGTGCATGGAAACAGGGGCAAAGAGAAATTGCCTCTGAGCTTTGCTTTGTGGGCTCTTCCTCAGATGATGCAGCAGCTTGTTGGTCCAGGGTTTGCAGAACTCTCCTCACCTGTGGCTCAGCAATCCGTGGCAGGAGAAGTCTTGTTCTTACACAGATGTTCCATTCCTGTCTCCCTGTCAGGACAGCGGGCAGGTGGGTGTCACCTGTGGTGTGGTGACATCCTGAAGTCACGCTGATGGAGGAGGCTCCTGAAAGCCAACTTGGTCACCTGTGCAGAGGGACAGGAGGCTCAGCTGAGAGCCTGGAGGAGTCACAGACTGTGTGACAGACTGGAGTGGGATGATTCCCATTAGGGATTCCCATGGGATAACTCCCATGGAGGAATGTGTGCATGGATTGGAGCTCAGTTCAGTGGAGATGGGCTGGGAGGGGTTTCAAGGGCTGGAGAACTGGCAGGTGGCTGAAGGATGGAGAGGTGCAGGTCTGATTCCCAGTAGCAAAGGAGTGGTGGGTGAAGCCTCCCAGAGTGAGGATAATGAGGTGGAGATGGAGAAGGAGGTCATGGGACCACCACAGCGTGAGATTTCCAATGGCTTAGCCTCTCCTTTTTTAGGAAGGAGGGAGGGAGACACAGGAGTCTCCCGGGGCTCTTTTCCCACCCTCTGCTCGGTGCCGGGATCCCCGTGTGGGGCTCTGCACCCCTCTCCCCCCATTATGCTGCTGTGTGATCAGCCCTGCTCTCACTGAGCTCCACTTCCACCCTTCTCCCTCCCATCGCCAGGGCTCGGTGCCCTAAAATCCAAGGCAAGGAAGGTGCCAGGGGAGCTCGGGGCTGGCACGCGTGCGGGTGAGGCTGTTCACCCCGGGGCGGGCGGCAGCGATTCCCTGGCAGCCTCCCCGAGCAGCGCTCCTGCGTGTCCTGCTGCAGCCTCCCTCCGGCATCTCCCCGAGCTCCTCTCCGCACCTTCCTCCGCCGAAACAGCTCCGGGGAGGTTTTTTTTCCGGGATCGGGACAGGCGGGTGCTCGTGTGGCAGAGCGCGGCAGAGAGCGGCGGGCAGAGGCAGCTGGCTCCTTCGCGGGGACGGCAGGCACGGAGCGGGGCCCGGGGGCCGGAGGATGCTCGCCGCGGTGCCCAGCCGCGGGGATGCGGGGTTGCTAGGAGGCAGGTGAAGGTGAAGGTGAAGGTGAAGAGGAGAGCGCTGCGGAGGACCGCAGGCCCAGGTAGCGCCGCAGCGGGGCCGGGGACAGGCGGGGGGGACATTGTCCGTGCGGGGAGCGGAGCCGGCGAGCGGGAACGCTGAGCCCTTGAGAAGGGAGCCGGGGCGGAGGGAGCCGGCTCGGTGCTGCGGGAGGACGATGCGGGAGCGGCCGCGGGCTCGGCCCTCCGCCAGCCCGGCTGCCGCGGCTCCCTGCCCGCCTCTGCCGGTACCGGTGCCGGTGCCGGTGCAGGGCCTCGGCCGTGAGTACCGGGGGCTGCGGGGGAGCGGCGCGGCGCGGCGCGGCGCGGGAGGATGCTCAGCCATCCTCCGGCAAGGGCGAGCCGGGGATGCCGCCCGCCGCAGAGCCCCGGGCAGGCCGGGGCACCGGTGCCCTTGGGAAGCCGCCTGCAAGGGACGGAGGAGCGCCGCAGCCCGGGGCCGGCGGGGCCTGCGGGGACGCTGCCGCCGCCGCTGCCCTTGGGATGCCTCTTGCGGGGCCGTGCGGGGCAGCAGTGTCCTTGGGAGACCGCGAGGAGCCACCTCCGGCCGGTCCTGCCCTGTCCTCCGCACGGCGCCGGACCCTGCGGGGCTTGGGCTGAGCCCCCGGGTGGGAGCTGCCCTGGCTGGAGCTGCCCCGGCTGGAGCTGCCCCTGACTGGGAGCTGTCCCCGGGCTAGAGCTGCCCTGGATGGGAGCTGCCCTGGATGGGAGCTGCCCCCGGCTGGAGCTGCCTCCGGCTGGGAACTGCCCTGGATGGGAGCTGCCCCCGGCTGGGAACTGTCCCCGGGCTGGAGCTGCCCCGGCTGGAGCTGCCCCGGCTGAAGCTGCCCCTGACTGGGAGCTGCCCCCGGGCTGGGAGCTGCCCCTGGCCCCGCAGGAGGAACGGGAGGATGGCACAGGGTGGGGGTAAGTGCCACGGCTCTGACCTGCCTTCCCCCTCCTCCTAGATCCGCATGTCAGACCATCACGACCCCCACTATGGGGAGTCAGAACCCCAGCACGGCATCACTGTGGTCTTCCTCCTTGTCCTTGTGTTCTTCATCATGGGGCTGGTGGGGTTCCTGATCTGCCATGTCCTGAAGAAGAAGGGTTACCGGTGCCGCACCTTCCGGGATGAGCTTGACCCAGATGACAAAGATGAGGTGGAGGAGCTCGATGATGGTGAGTGCTGGGGCAATGGGGCTCGCTGGGGGCTCAGCCTTGTGCCTGCTGTGGGCTGGTGCTCCTCATGCACCCTTCTGGGCTGTGGGACGGGGCTGGGAGGGTTACTTGTCACGTGTGGCTGGGTTGGGATGAAGGGCTGGGGTGGTGAGACCAGTGTGGTGTTCCCTGGGGATTGGGAGTGTGAGGGACAGGGATCCCTCAGATCCACGAGCTGACAATGGCTGGAGGTGACAGGGAGGTGGCAGCCAGTGCCTGGCCCTTCCCAAAGGAGTGTTATCACCAGAAGGTAATTCTCATGAACATCCAGGACTTGCTGAATCCCCAGACTCTCAATCATAACCCCTGTTCCCTCAAGGAAAACCTCTCCCAGCTGGAGCACAAGTGCCTCTGTCCCTCTGGCATCAGGATGTCTGGCAGGGAGCCAGCTGGTGTTTGTTATTGGCCATGTCTTCTTGTGGTCCCTGCTGTGTTCTTGCAGACCACAGAAGTAGGGCTGCTGCTGGAAGGGGAAGGGACCTGTAGGGAATTTTTTCCATGGCTTCAGGGCACCGCAAGTCGCTCTGGGCTGGCTGGATTGGGAAGTCAGTGCTGCATCGAGCGTGGGTGCCCGGCCCAAGCTCTGTCATCCGGTGCTTTCCTGAGTCTCTGCTGAAGGGGGAACACACATTCCTCTGCTGCTTCCCAGGCTGGGAACAGCCACATGGTGCCACAGAACTCCTCCAGCTCCGTGTGCTGTGGCAGTGCTGGGGAGGATCAGCACCTCCTGCTGCCGCTGCCTGAGCTCAGGAAGGAAACAGCTCCTTGGGCTCGTCCTCAGTGCAGCCAGAGCCTCCACGTGCCCATGGATATGCTTCTCTGGCTTTTATGACTTGGCTGTACATGACATGGAGACAGCCTCTGAACCTTCCAGGATAGGCTTTGCCCTCTGGACACACCACAGCCCAGGGAAACATCTCCATGGGATGATGGAGATGTTCTGAGATCGTGCTCCAACCTGCTTACAGGAACATCTCACACTGCTGACCAGGCTGGAGGTCCGTCCATCCATCCATCCATCCATCCATCCATCCATCCATCCATCCATCCATCCCTCCTACCTCCAACAGTGGCTGGAAGCAGGTTGAACTGAAAGCTGTAGGTGAACTCCACAGCAGAGCAGGCACCAGCCAAGATTCCTCAGAACAGTCTTTAAGCTTTCAATAGTGTGCAGCTCTGGGGCTCTCTCTGTCACTGTGTGATCCTCATTTCTGTATTTAGTGGGTCCCAGTGGGTTTATTTTCTCTGGACGTGTCCTGTCTACCCTTGGGGCCTTGAGCACTGTCAGCATCCTGCAGCCAGGGGCTCCAGGGCTGGACAAGGACCCTCCTCTTCCAACTTTTTAGAACCTGCTTCCCTCTCATTTCTCCAGATGCTCTGAAGGAGCAACACACCCCCTCTCCCTGCACACGCAGCTGCTGGCTCAGCCGTTTCTTTTCCAGGATGAGGGATCTGGTGTTCCCCTGTGCCTTCCCAGTGTGACAGGGGACTCGAGGCTTCTCCAACAACTCTGCTGATGCAGCTGCTCCTGGGAAGGGATGAGTGAGCAGAGCCCTGGAATCCCAGCCCTCAGTGCCACGTTGTGTCTTTTCAGATGAGGCTGACAAGAACGATGACACCGTGGAGAAGATTGTGAGATGCATCATCCAAAATGAAGGTGAGCACTTCCTTGGGCCAGCCTGGAGCCGTGCTGATCACTTTGGCTCGTTTTCCCTCTCTCTTCAGCATTCCCATTTTTCCCTCTCTCTTTAGCAAATGTGGAGGCCCTCAAGGAGATGCTGGGGGAAAATGAACCGGACGTGCCAGTGCCAGTGCCCAGGTGAGGGAAGCTCACAGCAGCTTGTGAATGAGGGACAAGCAGCCCCTTTCCAGCTGCCACAAAACATCTTCCCCACGGGGAGTCCTGCTCTCCTGAGGGCTCTGAGGAGTGCTTCACCCCACTGTCAAGTGGAACAGCTCTTCCTCATTCCTGTCCCCCCCAGAGCTGCTGCTCCAGTGGGGCTGCACCAGGGTTGGGACATCTCCCCGAGGTGACACAGCCTGTCATCTTCTGTTGCAGCCTTGGTCACCACAGCAGCAGCCAGGACGGGGGCCCGCCCCATCACCACACGGTGCACCTGGGCTCCACGCACGCCCCCTGCATCCACTGCAGCAGGAGGAAGAGGCACCCCCTGCAGCGCCAGGGCCGCTCCAAGGAGGGCAAAAGCAGGATGCACCCTGGAGAGACCACCGTCTTCTCAGTGGGCAGGTACCCAAACGAGCTTTGCCGGACATTTCCCTGCTGGAATGAGCACCACAGGCTCTCCTCAGTCCTGTTCCTTCCCCCTTCCTCTTGTACCCAAGGTTCCCTCTTGCTGTTGCACACGGAGATGCCCCAGCAGCAGCTCTGCAGCTGGAGCTCCTGAGCAGCCAGGTGGCTGCTGCACCTGGAAATGCCTGTGGTGTGTGGCAGGCTGTGATGCACCGGTGGCTTCCCTCCTTCCCTGGGAAGGTGACTCAAGCTGGGTTTTCCTGCTGAGTCAGTGCTGGGCACAGCCCCAGCTCCATGTCCTTCCAGAGCCCGCTGTCCCAGCTCGGTGCAGCAGGGCCTTGCTGCCCAACTGGGGGCTTCAGGGACCTCCCTGAGGGCACAGAGGGGACAGCATGTCCCAGGTGCAAGCCACCATCTGCTCAGGATGAAAGAGTGCCTGTGCTGCTCCAGGTTGCTGCCTCTAACAATGTCTGTAATTAGATGACACAGCAGCAATGTAAGAATAGGGGAGTGTTCCTGATACTTCCCACAAATGCTTTCCATCCCCACCTGGTTTCACCTCAAGGGACTTCCTGTGGTCTCACTGTGTCGTCACTAACCTGTAGAGCAGTCTGTAGGCTCACCCAGGCTCCCCCATTCCCCAGCAGAAAGGGTTTGGAAAGTTCCTGGGCTTGGCTCCCTCCGGCTGTGGTGGCTGGGGCAGGGTGACAAGCAGCTGCTGGTCCCTGGATGGCCACCATGGTGAGACACAGAGCTCTGCCATGCTCAGATTGTGCTCAAGGTGCTCATTCAGGGCCTGAGCCTTGATGGAACTTCATGTTGTGGTCCAGAGACAGTGCTTTCATGGAAATGCTGAGCCAAAGTGGGCATGGAATCGTGGGATGGTTTGGGTTGGAAGGGACCTCAAAGTTCATCTCATGCCACCCCTGCCATGGCAGGAACACCTCCCACTGTCCCAGGCTGCTCCAGCCCCAGTGTCCAGCCTGGCCTTGGGCACTGCCAGGGATCCAGGGGCAGCCCCAGCTGCTCTGGGCACCCTGTGCCAGGGCCTGCCCACCCTGCCAGGGAACAATTCCTAATTCCCAATATCCCATCCATCCCTGCCTCTGGCTCTGGGAAGCCATTCCCTGTGTCCTATCATGTGGATTTTCCCACCACCCCGGGCAGGAGCCTCAGCAGGGAGGTGAGCTGGGGCTTTGTGGGCAGGTGGAGAAGCAGGGAGAGCTGCTGGACTGCCCAGGCCCAGCTCAGCTCGGATCACATCTCGTGGGCACTGCCAGCTCCCGGCTCTCCGTGCCCGTGGCTGTCCTTGGAGGTGGTGCCCGGCAGGCCGGGGCTGTGCACAGCTCCTGCTCACCACTAATTCATTCCCTGGCTGGTGCCCAGCTCCATCCCCTCCTCCATGTCCTCTGTCCGTGCTCTCCCAGCCTCCTCTCAGCACTCAGAGTGCTGGACAAGATGCTCGCCTTTCCCAAAGGCACCTTCCCTCAATTCCTGATTTTCCTCTTTAACCCTGTGAGTGTCATACCTCACATCAGCCTTCTCCACAGGGCACTCATCCCATTTCTCCAAGGCTTTACTTTCAATCCTGAATCTCTTTGGTACAAGGTCCAGCTGCTAAAGGACCTATGTGCCCATGACGTACAATCCCACCCCCAAATTCTGCTTCTTATTTCCAGGCTGGCCCCTTTTCCCTTCCAGATCCTCCAGGATGGCCCTTCCTGTGTCTTATTTATGACAAATATCTTGAAGTACTTTGACCCTGCACTAAAGAAACCACAGGGCTTCTTTAACTCACCCCTAGAGTTAAAGACACCCTCAGGTCTTGTTCTGCTTTGTTTTTGGTATTGTTCTTGCCTTGGATGCAGTGGTTGATGGTCCAGCCTGATCCCACATGGAATGGGTTCTGGTAGGCACAGGCTCTTTCCTGAGGAGTGGAAAGCTGTGGAGGTCCACCAAGATCATCAGGGCTGGAGTATGGGGCACCTGGGGAGGCTTTTTTGGCCTGGAGCATTAGAAAGGGATGATCTAATTGTCCTCTAACACTTCCCAAAGGGTGGGTGGAATTTAAGTGAAGATGGAACAAGACTCTCCTCAGAGATCTGCACTGGGAAGGGCAAGAGGCAATGGCCATGAGTTACAGCAAGAGAAATCCAGAAAAGATGCCAGGAAAAACTGTTCTGCCATGAGGATGGTGCAGCCCTCAACAGGGCCCTGAGGAGTGGAGGAATCTCCACCCCTGAAGATTTCCAAAACCTGACTGGACAGGGCTCTGGGCAAAGGGCTTGAGGGTGGGAGGGGACCCAGATATGAGCCGGTGTCTGGACTGGAGACCTCCTGAGGGCTTTTTGCTCCTAAATTGTTCTAAACTTGTGTGGCACTCAGGGTTATGCATGGTATGGGATGATTTACCACTTAGCTCAGTGCTTTCCCTCTACCAGGTGTAGTCAGTGGCAGAGCTTGTCCATAAAACATCTGTGTCTGACCCTCTGTCCTCAGCCCCATCAGGCTGAGTGTGTCACATCCCACTGAATCCCAGGGGTGCTGATGAGGCAGAAGCCCAGCCAGGGCTCCTCTGCTTTCCCTCACCAGCCAGAGGTTGGCTATGTTACCTCTTGTGCCCTCTCTGGTTCAAACCCTTCCTGCTCTCTGACTCCACTCCTGACTCTTCCAGGATGACATTGCTCAATGGCATTACCAAGAAGTGATCCTGTCACTTGTGTCTCCTTCCTGTTCCTCTTCAGGGCCAGAACATTCTTTGGTCTCCCCAAATCGTAGTGCTGGTGTCTTATCTCTGAATATCTGGACAGACCTGAAAGGTCACATTTGCTGTTGCTTGGCCTGGGAACCTTTTCTGGAGCTGGAGCATTTCTCTTCTCCACCCTCCCAACTCTGAACAGCTTTTGGCCCTGCTGAGGGGTTGGTGCTGCCCACGGGCTGGGCTCCAGCCTGGAAGTGCTCTCCTTCATCTCTGCCAGCTGTCCTGGCATCTGTTCTTATCTTTTGGACCTCTCTGCTTTTTCCTTTGGAACAGCAGCGCTGCCATGTGCTTGACCTGTGTGTCTTGCTGTTCTTTCCACACCAGCAACACTTGAACTCTCTGACATTTTGCTTTGCCCTGACACTGCCTTGCAGCTGAACCTCAGCAGAACCAGGTCTGTTGGTTTTCCATGTGTGATCCAAGCACAGTGAGAGCAGCTGTGGGTGAGCCATGGGCTGCACGAGCTCTCAGTGCTGCCATTGGAGTGCTCTGCCTGGTGGACACCAGCTCACCATGGAGGAGATTTCCTCTCTGCTGGTCCAGTGCTGGTGAGGAGAAGTCACAATCAGCACAATCACAGTTCAGACTTTTAGGCTTTGCTGACACCTTGCCCCTCCCAGGCTGAGGGAATTGGGAGAGGAGAAAGCCCCAAGGAGACTTTAGAGCCCCGTCCAGTGCCTGGAAGGGTTCCAAGAGAGCTGGAGAGGGACTTGGGGCAAGGGCACAGAGTGATAAGACACAGGGAATGGCTCTCTGCTGCCAGTGGGCACAGTTAGAAGGGATATTGGGAAGGAATTGGTGGGCAGGCCCTGGCACAGGGTGCCCAGAGCAGCTGTGGCTGCCCCTGGATCCCTGAAAGTGTCCAAGGCCGGGTTGGATGGGGCTTGGAGCAGCCAGATTGAGGGGAAATTGTCCCAACCCATGGCGGGGAATGGGACTGGATGATCTTTTAGAACCTCCTTCCAACTTAAGCCATTCCATGAGTCTATGATCCCTAACCCCTCTCTTCTCCCCACATGCAATGTTACATCACCTCTGATTATGAGCCCACCCTTTGAGGGTGTCAGACCCATTTCTGCAGCTTTTCTCCTGCCCACCCAGAGCTCTGAGCTGTTACCTGCTCATGGTGGAACCTTGGTGAGCACTCAGGTACCATCTGCCCCTCGAGGGGATGGTGCAAAATGTGCTCTGGCAGATTTTAGCCAAACAGCTTCTCCAGCCTATGATCCCTGTACCCAAATCACTGCCAAACCCCTGTCCTGCCCTCACTGAGGGCACACTGTCATCCAGAGCATTTCCAAGAGCTGTGATCCGTCTTGCTGCTGGGAGGACAAACTCTGCCCCAGCCAAGACCTGGATTGAGCTTCCCATCCTTCTCTTTCTGTTTGTTTTGCTCAAAATGAAGCGGAAAATCAGTTTGGGAACACAGCTTGTGTAGGTGTGAATGGGTCAGACAGGTTGGAGATCACAGCAAAGCGAGGAGATCTGGGGTTTGGAGGTACAGAAAAACTGGGAATCCAGCGGTGGGACGGCATGGAAAAAACTGCTTGTAAGAGCATTGGGGGTAGGATGGTCAGGATGGATGGAGACGAGAGATCTCTGCAGCCAGGTCAGGAACTTGGGGTTTATTGCAAAGGGCCTGGGTGCAGGGCCCTGCTGGGAGCTGCAGCCACAGCTCAGAGCAGGTTGAGAGAAGAGAGGGGGAGAGAGGATGAGAGGGTAAGAGAGTAAAAGGGTAAAAGAGTAAAAAAGGTAAGAGCCAGGTTCCCGTTACAGTACAATAAATCTTCCTGTGTGTTGAATATTCTAATTCTCACTAACCAATCTAGTACAAGATACAAATCCTATAGCATTTACATACAGCCTGTAAGAATCACTACATTACCACACTGTGTTACATTTTAAACCCTAAAATCTCCTCTTTGGGCCCCTTCTGCTAAGCTGCAGGGTCTGCTCTGACCCTTGAGCCTGTCTGCAAGCAGAAGGTGTTGTTCCATCAAAAGGGGATCACCTTCAGCTGGCCACACCATTGTTTTCCAGTTGTTCAGTAACTGAGGGATCTCAAAGCTTGCTTTCATTTCAATCTTGCTTATAGTTTCCATATTCTCAAAATCTTTTGCCAGACAATCATATTTATAAGGCTTTCCTGTTTCATCTCCCCCAACACCTGCTGTGTCCTGTCCCCGTTGCAGGTTCCGTGTCACGCACATTGGGAAGAAGCCGTGCCTGCCGGAACAGCCGGACGGGGCCCTGCCCGTGGCCAGCCGCCCGCCGAGCACGGAGGAGCTGGAGCGCAGCAGCGAGCTGCTCAACGGGACTGTGCCCACGGCCGGCCTGCAGAACGGAGCCGTCCACACGGGCACACAGAGTGCCAGGAGCACCGAGCAGAGCCTGTCCGCCAGCCCGGCCGCCAACACACCTGCCAGCGCCGGCACCCGTGACAGCCGGCGGGCGGGCACCGCGGGGTCTGGCCCGCTTGGGTCTGGCATGGTTGGATCCAGCACGGTTGGATCCGGCACGGTTGGGTCTGGCACGGCGGGGTCCAGCACGGTTGGGTCTGGCACGGTTGGGCCTGGCCCGGTTGGGTCCAACCCGGTGGGGTCTGGCCGAGCTGGGTCCTTGCCGGGTGCTGGCTCCGCTCCCGGGAGCTCCAGCCGGCAGCGCAGGCTGCTGAGCCTGCCCATGCTGGGAGCGTCGAGTCCCAACATCCCGGGAGAGCTGGCGAGGGAAGGAGCCGGCATGTGCCTGGAAGAGATGGGACTGGCGTCGGCAGATGAGGTGTCGGATATTCACGGGAGCCTGAGTCTGCAGGAGCAGGCCGAGGAGCTGGCGAGAGACGAGAGCAGCAGGAAACAGTCCAGAGGGGAGGATGGGAAGCAGCAGGTATGTTCCTCCTCCTCCTCCTGGTCCCCATGTGGTCTGCTGGGCTGGAGGGGAATTGCTTTTTCCCATCCATTTTCTGATGTCTGAGGCAGTGGAGTGACTGTGACAGGTCCCACCCTGCTTCAGGGGCAGTGGGAGGTGCTGCAGACCTGCTGCCCCTTCCCCTTGGCACGGGACTCCTTTTCCTTTGGGGACATCCATTGAGATTTTGACCTGGGAGAGGTCTGTTACCCTTGGCAAGAGACTCCTTTTCCTTTGGGGACATCCACTGGGATTTTGACATGGGAGAGGTCTGTTCCCCTTGGCAAGGGACTCCTTTTCCTTTGGGGACACCACTGCTGCACGTGGTGTCCCCTGAGCTGTAGCCTCACTGGGGTCCAGTGTGGCCCCACAGGAATAGACAGGGGCAGATTTCTCCAGCCTTCTTTACCTCCAAGGCCAGGAAATGGCAAAGCCAAGTGGTCATTTATTGGCTCTTTTCCCTGCTCCTGAGCAGCTGTGATCAGAGAGGAGGGAAGCCCACCCTTCCTGGAGCTCCCAGTACCTAGTACCTCCCAATGTCCCACCCAACCACCTTGCTGGAGGGGTTAGAAAGCTCCAGGGGATTTTCTCCCTGGAATTGCCTCTGTGCTGGTTCCAGTGAGCAAATGAGGCTGGTGGTGGTGGTTGTTCAGACACCCAGAATTTCACTTACACACTCATTTGTGGTTCTACAGCTGGGAAAAGGGGATTTTCATGGAAAGGGGGCTGGGAAACACCCCCTGTGTAGTGTCAGCAGCTCCAAGAGCTGGGCCTTAACTTGCCTCACAAAACCAGCCTGATGTGGCAAAGCCCTTGGGGAGAAAAAGGAAGCCAAATGCCTGGGTAAAATTCCTGGCATGCTTCAAAGCCATGGAGATCCCCTGGGGCTGGTTCTGCACGGGCTGGGCACATGCCAGCAGCCCTTGGCAGGGGGTGGGATGGGGCAGGACTGGGTCAGCACGGGAGAGGCCTGGGGAAGGTGCCTGGCTGGATGCTGGATAAGGACAAAGCAGGATCCCACTGTTTCCACCTTGGCTGGAAGGTTTGAGCTGCCCTTCATGGAGAAGGGCAAGGCAGGATAGAGCTGATGGGCTGCAGCCCTTCCCCAGAGAGCTGGGGAGGTGGTGACAGGTCCTCCTGTGGCCCTCTGAGCCTTGGGAATCCCTCTGATCCCTGGGGAAGCAGTTCGGTGCAGGGCAAGCCCAGTGCCAGGCTCCTGTCCTGGATGCTGCCCGTGATGCTGGGGTGCGCCAGGACATGGGGTCCCAGGAGAACGGTGACAGGAGCACCCTGGGATGTTTGTCACCAAGCCCTGGTGCCATGTGGACCATCCCCCATGCCCTCAGTTGCGGTCAGAGCCAGCACCAGGGTTGGTGGGTGCTGCTGTCACGTCCTGCAGGTTGTGGGGAAGGGCAGAGGTGGTGCCTGGGCTGTGCTCACTCCTGGAGGCTCGGTGGGGTTCAGCCCCTCGGGTCACTGCTGTGACCATGGGAGAGCCCCAGCCCAGCCCCAGCTCCATGGGAGCGCTGACCCCTCTCCTCCATCCCACAGGAGCCCAGCGCCACGGAGCAGGACCGTGTGTGAGGTGAGTGCCTGTCCCCTGCCCCTGGGACAATGTCTGGGGGGTGGGAGGGCACTGCCAGTGTCCCTGTGTGAGGTGAGTGACTGTCCCCTGTCCCCTGCCCCTGGGACAATGTCTGGGGGGTGGGAGGGCACTGTCACTGTCCCTGCATGGCGGGTCTCAGCTTGCTGCTGGAGATGGAGAGAGGCTGAACCCTTTCTCCAGGGGTCGGGACGTGCCCAGCCACAGGCAGCGACCCCGGGCAGTGCCATTTGGGTGGTGGGGAGGTGCCAGGGCTGCGGGCACCAGCCCCATCGTGCCTCTCTCCCTCCCGCAGCTGCTCTCCGCTCCCGGCTGGAGCGTGCACGGGAGGCGCGCAGCCCCCGGGCCCCTCGGGGCTGGGGCTCTGCCGTGGGGCAGCCGCGGGGCAGCCGGGCTCGGCCCCGGGTGGGCAGCTACGCGCTTGGCATGGCCGGAGCGACGCGCCCGCCACACCGACAACCGCGCTCGGCGGCGCCAGCCTTCATCCCATCGGCAATAGGTACCCGAGTCCCACCCACCGCACCCTCCCCGGACACCCCCGAGGGACCCTCGGGCCTGGCAGGGGCAGGACGGCGCCCGGAGCCCGCTGCCCCCGCGGCCCCAGCTCGGGGGAAGGATCACAGGGGCGGGGATGGAGGCAGCGGCTTGAGCCCCCCCCCGGGGCGGTGGGGAGCGCCTCCCGCCCGCCGGGCACGTTCAGCACAGAGCACAGCCCCCCCGGGCACCCCTGCCACGCAGAGCGGGCACTGGCACACACCCGGCACCGGCAGGGCCTGGGAGATGCTGGCGGAGATTGGAGCTGCCGGCCCCATCCCGGCACCGGCCCGGGGGGCGGGATGGCCCCGGGCCAGGCCAGCGGGCAGCCCCGGGCCGCGCCAGCTTCGGTGTGTAACGCCCTGTACATAGACGAGCTACAACCATTAAAGCTGCTGAACCCCTCGGCAGGGCCAGCGGGATTTATTGATTTATTGGGGACAGCCCCCCACGCCCGCTCCTGCCCGTGGGGGCTGGCAGGGGAGAGAGAGGAGCCCCCCAGGAACCAGGGCTGGGAGTGCACGGGTGATGCCAGGCAGGAAGGATGGAGGCAAAAGGGGGGTGAGATGGGGCCTGGCTGTGGCACTGGGCACCCCAAAAAGGGGTTCTGGGTGCTGTACTGGGGTGCAGGACCAATCTGCAAGCAGCACTGGGCAGGACGCAGCCCCTGGAGAGACCAGCTCGGGGCATGGGGCACAGCAGCTCCTGTGGTGGTTTGCCTGGGCAAAGCTTTTTTGGGGAGGGGGCCGGGGGCACCCACAGGGTCAGCTGAAGTGAAGCTCAGGGTCAGGCTCGGCGGCTCTGCCAGGCGGTGGGGGCGGTGCACGGAGCTGCAGAGAGGGAGAGGAGAGGGAAAGGAGAGGGACAGAAGTGGTGCCAACATGCTGAGGCCACTCATCCCCCTTCAGACCCCCCAAAACACACGGGTGGCTCCATTACAGAAGGGCTGGGGCAGGTTTTGGGGTCACAGCATCCCTGTGAAGGGACTTACCGGCCGCAGGCGCGTGGCTGCCAGGTCTGGAGAGCTCTGCCCGCTGCCCGTGCCGTCCTGCCGGCAACCTGGGAGGGCCCAGCAGCTCAGCCTGGCTTTTGGGCTCCCCCAGCCCCTTCCCAGTTTCCCCAGTTTCCCCAGCACTCACCTCCCAGCGCTGTCTCAGGAGCAGAGCCGGGGACCAGGCTGGCCCCGGGTGCGAGGCCAGGAGGGGAGAAGGGCGGAGGGGATGGTGATGGCAGCTCCTGGGAAGACACATCCAAGAGGGATGGGCATGGTGGGAAGGGGCTTCACCTCAGCACCCATGGAAGCACCACAGTGACACAATGACCCTCCTGGCACCAACCTGCCCAGCTGCCTCCCGGGCCCCGGTGAGCTCCTCCACCACCAGGGAGGGGAAGACGCCGATGCGGCCATCGAAGTCGCCGGTCCAGAAGCCATCGTCCACCTCGCCAGCAGCACGGGGCAGCACCCGGATGATGGCCCCCTCAGGGAAACTCAGCTCCTCGGGGCTCTGCCCCTCGTAGTCGTACAGGGCTCGCACCAGCCAGGCTGTGGGGAGGGCGGGGAGGGGGCTCAGCACCCTCTGGATGCCGCCCCCCTCTCTGGGGTGGGGGTGATGCCCAGCACTCACCTCCAGGCTCCAGCACCAGTTCTGCAGCCATGATGCTGGAGAGCTGGCGGTGCAAGGCAGAGGGGCCTGGGGGGCCCAGCCCAGCCCCCGAGTCACACCCCAGGGACAGCAGGTACTTTTCAGGGACATAGCCGACCTGCCCTGCCTTGTTCCGAGCCTGAGGAGGCAGAAATCACATGAACATCTCAGGCTCCAGAGTGGGGCCAGCCTGGGGACCTCCAAAAGGTGTCCCCCAGTATGGAGGGGGGCTCAGCCTGCTCCCACCTTCACCCACTCCTCTGCATCCCCATCCTCGATGATCTCCAGCTCCTCGCCCTGGCTGATGGACAGCTCGTCTGCCTGGCAGCCCTGCAGGAGACGGGGGCAACGTGGCAGAGAGGCTGAGGTGCCAGCCCTGGGCAGGCAGGGCGAGGGCCAGGCAGGCAGGGCCATACCTGGTAGCCAAAGATCACCCGGCAGGTGTAGGGGTAGGTGCGGGCAGCAGGCCCAGGCTCGTCGTCCTCATCGGGCTCATCACTGTCCTCGTAGTCATCGAACTCAGCTGGGTCCAGCCCCGTGGGGGTCTCCTCTCCTGTCCCCCCCATGGCCCCGGCCAGCCAGGCGTCCACGTCCAGCCCTGCCGCCCGCAGCAGTGCCAGCCGTGCCTCGGCCTTCACTCGGCTCACCTGGGGACACCACACATTGTCACAGTGCCCAGGATACCCCTGGTGGCGTCCCAACCCCATCACCCCCATCCCCAGCACCACACCCCAACTGCAGCATCCCAGCCACCAGCCCTCCCTGTCCCTACATCCCCCACCCCTGGGGGTGACAGACAGATGTCACCCCAAGCTCCCTGACTCAGGGTCCCACCTCTGCCTTGCGAATGTTCTCCCTCACTTCCTCCATCTGCCGCTCCACGGCCGCCGCCTCCGCCTCCAGCCCCTGCTGCCGCCTGGCCTCCAGCCGCTGCAGCACCTGGGTGAGCATCCACAGCTCAGAGGGTGTGCCAGCTGGTGAGGAGCTGCAAAAGCCCCTCTCTGCACCCCGCAGTGGGGCAGGACAACACCCACCTCCTCGCTGTGTGCCCTGTTCTTGTGCTCGCGGGCCACGCGCGTGGCCCAGCGCCGCGCCTCCTTCTCCAGGCTGGCCCCATCATCTGCTGGTGGCAGCAGGCACACCTGGGCAGGGACACGGCGGTGACAAGGGATGGCTGTGCAGACCCCACCTTGCTGTAATGATCCTCTCCACTTACCTCCTCCATCCCCGTGAGCTGGAAGCGCTGCTCGGGCGCCAGGGAGAAGGCGGGGTGGTCCTGCAGGAAGAGGAGCAGGTCCTGCTCCCGGCACACCTGCAGCAGGGGAGCAGCGTGGGGCTGGGGGCTCACCTGTGCCCTCATGTCCCACCCAGCTCAGGGCACAGTGCTGTTACCCGTGCAGATGCCTCCACAACACCCTGGAACCAGTCTCGGGTGGCCCGGCAGGTCTCCACCTCCGTCCTGCTGGCAACTGACAAGTGCTCCCGGAGCCGCTCGTAGAGATCCCCATCCAGAGCCTGGCGGAAAGCAGAGGGAACCCCCCAGCACTGCCACATCCTCCCACTGGACATCCCTGATCCCCTGGGCAGCCAGCCCTGACCCTGTGCAGCGGGACCCTCCCTGCTGGCAGTGGGGAGAGGCTCCTTGTGGGACCCTGGGGAAGGGGCACGGGGGCCCGGGCATCCCCTACCTGCATGGCTGCGGGCAGCTCCACACGCTGGTAGTGCTCCAGGTGGGCAGAGGCAGCCACCAGGGCAAAGCTGTACTCATTCTGCACCCCCGCCAGCTGCCTCGAGTGCTCGGCCAGTCGTGCTGAGAACTGCGGGGACGTGGGCAGCGAGGCTTGGTGATGGTGCCCTGTGTCCCCAACATGGGTACCCTGCCATCCCCCACGCCACCAACCTTGGCACTGAGCTTCTGCAGGCTGGCCTTGGTGTGAAATATCCGCCGGTCGCTCTTGCGGAGGCTGGGGAGGACGGAGGGGGCTGTGAGACCACCCTGAGGCACAGCAGCCCCCCGGCCCCGTGTGCCCTGTGTGCCGCACTCACCGCGCCTCCACGTCGGCCGCCTTGTCCTTGGCCACCTCGCTGCTGCGCCGCAGGTGGCTCAGCTGCTTCTTGGCCTTGTCCAGCTCCTTCATCGTCTCCAGCAGCTCCACCTGCGCCTTCTGCAGCCGCTCGATGCCCTGTGGGGAGTGTCAGCTGGGGGGCACAGCTGTCCCCCCGGCCTGGGCACAGGGACATGGCCTTGCCCCGGTACCTTCTTGAGCGTCCTCTCCTTGCAGAGGCGGGCGCTGCGGGCGGCCTCGGCGGCCAGAGCGCGGTAGCTCTCGGAGGCGGTGACACGGACCTGCCCGGCGTGTGCTGTCCCCTCGATGACGCCTTTCCAGACAGCTGCCACGCTCCTGTGGGCACAGGGTTAACACAGGGACGGGCACTCCCTGCCCCATGACACCTTCCAGGGGTGCCCAGCAGGACTGCCAGCACCTCCAGTCACAGCAGACTGGCACTGGGGACATCCCACCCATGGCTGCATCCCGGTGACTGGAACTGGGGACATCCCACCCACAGCTGTGTCCTGGTAACACCCAAATCCTGGTTGGCATTAAGCATCTCCAAGTTGGGAGGGCTACAGGCAGGTATGGCAAGCCCCAGCTGCTTGTCCCCAGCCCTGTCCCTCTCCGCAGCCCACCTGGAGTCGCCGGCCTCGCCACGGCCCCGATGCCAGTCTCTCTTCACGAACTGGCTGGCCAGCCTCTGCAGAGCCTGCAGACAGACCAGACATCACCATCACTGCCTGACCCTGCTCAGCACCCACCAACCCACCCTGGGCCCAAAACTGGGCTCCCCCCCCACCCCAGCTGCTCACCCCATGGACCTGGGGACACACACGGGTCCCCTCAGAGCACAGACACATCCCCGTGGCTCAGTGTCAGCAGGAATCCCATTGTGCTCCCCAAAACCTTCCGGGGGGAGGCAGCCACCACAATGAAAGGACCCCCCCTGCTGTGGCTTTTGGGACAGAGAATTTTGCAAGGGGACATCAGCAAGGGACGCTGGCTACAGAGACAGAGTAGAGGAGCCCCAGCAAAGCCAGGCACAGCAAGACCCCAACCCTGGGGGAATGGATGATCACCCCCAGTCTGGGGGTGTGAGGGAGGGAAGTGACATGGTGACCAGCTGCAGGAAGGGGGGACACAGTTCTGTTGCAGTATGTCCCCAAGGGATGCTGCAGGGACATCTCACATCAAAACCAAACTGACATTTCAGAGCAGCGCCCTGCGATGACCCAGCAGACAGCAGAGCCCAGCGGTTTCCTCCCCCACAAGGTTTTCCCTCCAGGCTCCCAGAACACCCAAGGTTCGGGCCACGCCGTGCTCAGCAGAGCCCCCAGCAGGTGCTGGACGTGGTCAGGGTGCTCCTGGCAGGATAAGCCATCTGCCACCACCCTGCGGGGCAGCACGGAGCAGCCACGCTCGGGTGATTCCCGAGGCTGCCCTCTGCCCGTGTGGGGCCGTGCCCAGCTCCTGCCCCAGGCCGCAGGATGGGGCCTGGGCCTCCCAGGACATTGATCCCGAATCTCAACGTGGCACCTCCTTACCTGCCCGTACTCCCTGTCAATGGTGGCCCTCTGCTTGCTGTAAGACCTGGGGGGACACAGGGAGGACACACAGAGAGGGGCAGGCATGGCCACCCCTCCCTGCACGTGCTGCCACCATCCACCTCCTACCATGTCCCCCTGCCACCATCCTGTCCCCATCAGGCCACCCCAGTGGGTGATGGAGCCCATGACCTCGAGGTGACAGGCTCAAGGTGACCCAAGCCCGGTGCCTGGCACACCCGGGCCGGGTCTCAGCCTGGGGGACACACACACACACACACAGACACACAGACACACAGACACACACATAGACCCACACACAGACACATGCAGACATTGGATGAGATGCCCGGTGTCAGCTTGGGGACACACACACAGACGCGGGATGAGCTGTTTCATCTCAGCCTGGGGACATACACACAGGATGAGCTGCCCGGTCTCAGCTTGGGGACACAGACACATATACACATGCACACAGACACGCACACACACGGGATGAACTGCCTGGTCTCAGCCTGGGGACAGATACACAAACAGACACAGACACAGACACAGACACACACACACGATGAGCTGCCCGGTGTCATCTCGACCCGGCTGTCACCTGTGCGGGCCCTACCTGATGTCCTCCAGCAGCTCGGCGTCCCGCTGCTGTTTGCTCTGCAGGCCCGACAGCTGCTCCAGGAGATGGACCCGCAGCTCCTGCGTGAGCTTCACCTGCGGGCAGGTCCCGCTCAGCCCCGCGGCCGCGGCGGGCACGGGGATGCGCTGTGCGCCCTGCCCGGGTACCGGTGCCCACCGGCCCCCCCTCCCGAGCGCCGTCCAACCGCGGCCTCGCTTCCCCAGCCCCGGGAGGCTCCGCCGGGGGCGAGGCTCGGTCACGGCTGCAGGACGCGGCAGCGAGGGAGGACCCGGCCCCGCTGATCCGGCCCAACACGGCCCAGCCCAGCCCAGCTCGGCCCGACGCTCACCTTGCGCGGCGGTGGCTGCATAGCTGCGCTGCCCCGGTGCCGGCGCCGATCCCAATCCCGGTGCCGATCGCCGCCGCCCCGATCCGCGTGTGCGGAGCCCGGAACTGCCGGGCCGGCCGCGCCCCGCCCACTGACCACGCCCCTCTCAGACCACGCCCCAATACAAGCCCTGCCCCATCAGGCCCCGCCCACCGCTCACTGGCGGACACGCCCCCAGAGCCGCCTCCAACCAGCCCCGCCCCTTTTCCCGCGCCGCCGGGAGCCCCGCCCATGGAGCCCAGCAAGCCCCGCCCCTCGGAGGCTGCAGCGCCGCCTTGTGGTCAGTGCTGCACCTGGGCGGGGCGATAGGACCCGGGGACAGGGGACAGGGGACACGGGGAGACAGGGACATGAGAACACAGGGATATGAGAGGGGGGGACATGGAGACATGGTGATGGAGAGACAGAGACATGGGAACACAGGGATATGTAACACAAGGACATGTGGACACGGGGACACGGGGAGATAGGGACATGGGAACACAGGGATATGAGAGGGAGGGAGATTGGGACATGGGGATGTGGGAAGACAGAGGCATGTGACAGGGATATGTGACATAGGGACATGGGGACTTGTAGGTGGGGAGACAGGGATGTGAGGACACAGGAATATGAGAGATAGGGACATGCGGACATGGGGACATGGGAGACAGGGACATGGGGACACAGGGATATGTGACACAGGGGAATTGGGGAGACAAGGACATGGGGACACAGGGATATGAGAGGGAGGGACATACGGACATGGGAGACAGGAACATTGGGACACAGGGATATGTGACACAGGGACGTGGGGATATGTGGACACAAGGAGACAAGAGGACAGGAACATACATGGGGACACAGGGCTGTGAGAGATGGGGATGTGTGGGCACAGCATCACAGGGACATGGGGGATGGGGAGTGCTGTCCTTGGGCAGGGGGACATGGGGACATGGGGACATGGGGATCACAGCACTGGGATCACTGGGGACCGAGTCCTTGTGCATGAGGACGCACAGGATGTGGTGACACATGAGGTGCTGGGGCACTGGCCCTGGGATGTGGGGACGTGTGGGACACTGAGGGGACAGCCCCAGCACAGGGACATGTGGGGTCTCACATCACATGGAGGACACGGAGCCCCTGGCTTGGCAGGACCCTGCCGTGGGGACAGGGGCACAGAGCTGAGCAGTGATATTCAGCGGGGGCCACCTGGAATCATGAAGGACCCCAGCCAGTCCCTGTTTGTCCCCCTGTCCTCCTCCCAACCCTCTCCCACTCCTTTCATCTCTCACTTCTCTTTCTGTCTGGATTTCTCTGTTCCTTGCACAGCTCATGGCTCTCTCCACTGTCCCATTCGTCCCCATGACATTTCTGGGGTTGGCTGCACATGTCCTGGTCCCCTGGCCTGCGACAATGCACAGGCTGGGCTGGGGAAGTGTCACTGGCTCTGGTATTCCCCTCCTTAGCTGGAAAAATGGACTGGAGGTCACCCAGCCACTTTGGTGACAGGAAGGGGACAATGCAGGGTGGCACCATCTACACCAAGCTGTGACACCAGCATGTCAGCCTGGCCCCAGTGATGGATCCTGGCCATGTGTGGCCCTGGCAGGGCTGGGCAGGCAGGAGTGCTGCAGTGGGGCAGGGCCACATGTCACCAGGCTGGGAACCCGCTGCCACCTTCCTGTCCCATGCACAGAGCACAAACAGCTCCATCTCCCCGCTGTGCTGCTCCTGGCTGTTCCAACCGCCTCTGCTGCTTCCTCCTCCCCACACACGGTCTGTGTGGTCGTGTGACACAGCTGGAAATTTCCCCCTCCGTTGTGTGCCCCAGGTGCTCGCTGTGGTGACAACTGGCGGTGACCCCGCGCCTCAGTCTGGCTGTCACAGCGCAGGGATGTGGGCAGGACGCTGCCGTGACGTGGTGGAGACACAGGGGGGGTGTCAGCAGAGAAAGGGACGGTGCCAGCCCCGCCGTGTCACCAGCCCTGCTGTGTCACCAGCCCCGCCGTGTCACCAGCCCTGCCGTGTCACCAGCCTGTGCCATTGGTGCAGACCCGGCTGGCACAGCGGGCACTCCGCAGAGATGTCGTGGCGGGTGCTGTCACCTGTCTCTGCTGCTGCCTGTGTCACCCTCCTGCTCAGCTGTGCCTGCCTTGGCTCTGCTGCCCAGCCCTCCTCAGGTGAGTGCCTCGGTGGGTCTGGGGGTGATGGGATAGGGCAGGGACCTCATTGGGACACCCCAACATCACGTCCTGTGACACTTGGAGGTGATGGCTGGGTGACATGGGGAGAGTCTGGGGCCCTGCTTGCTGCCTTCCCTCTGTGTTCACACTGAGAATCTGAGTGAAGACCTGAAACCCAGCCAGCATTTCCCCTTTTGGCAGCAAAATTCAGATTGCTGCTCTTGTAACCTGAATTTTCCATCCCCTGGATGTGGAGAGGGGGCAGAGGTTGTGGGATTTGCGTTGGATGTAACCAAAGCCCCCCGGGGTAGGGTGTTCTGGGGACCATCAGGATAGAAATTCTGCAGCTGGGGATGACGTGCAGAGCCTGTCTGGTTTCTTTTTTGAGCAAGCCAGAAAAGGGATTTGATCCTGGGTTGTTTCTCTGGTGCCCTGGGACCTTCCTGTTCTTCACTTTAGTTCTTTGCACACAATGAAAATCCCCTGACCACAGGAAGATGAGGAGATGTCTCTGTCTGTGGTGGGGAGCTGAACTGGGGACGTGGCTGGGGCTGTCCCAGCCCTGTGCTGCCCTCCTGATCCCTTTGTGCCAGGCTGGGTAGGACAAGGGACACCAGCAGCACCAGGGCTGTGGGAGCAGAGCCCATCCATGCTCTGCACTGGGCTGGCACTGCTGTGGTGGTGGCTGGCACAGAACGGGGCACAGCTGTGCAGGGTGGGGACAGCAGGGTGCTGCTGTGGGACAGGGAGATGCCACCTCCTGTGTGCAGTGGTGGCTCTGCAGGGAGGGGTGACAGCTCCTGCCCTCGGCTGAGCCTGACGCCTTGTGTCCCCTTGTCCCCCTTGTGTCCCCTTGCATCCCCTTGTGTCCCTGCAGTGCCCAACAAGAAAGGGCGAGCCCTGCTGCCCCTCACTCCCCAGGAGAAGAACGTGTGCTCCCAGGCCTCCGAGGAAGATTTTCTCAGCAGCACCCTCAGCACCCGCCTCCTGCCCGCCCTCTACTCCGTGGTGCTGCTGGTGGGGCTGCCAGCCAACGCTCTGGCCTGCTGGGTCCTGGCCACCAACTTCAGGAGATGCTCCAGCGCCGTCTTCCTGCTCAACCTGGCTGGGGCTGACCTGCTCTTTGTCCTCCTGCTGCCCTTCAAGATCTCCTACCACCTCCTGGGCAACCACTGGCCCTTTGGGGACTACCTGTGCCGCGCCATGATGGCCTTCTTCTACGGGAACATGTACAGCTCCATCCTCTTCCTCACCTGCATTGGCCTGGAGCGCTACATCTCCATTGCACACCCCTTCCTGTGGAAGAGCTCCAGCTGGACAAAGGGCAAAGTGGGCATCTCTGTGGGCATCTGGCTGCTGGTGGGGCTGGGCATGAGCCCTCTGCTTCTGCGCTCCCACACACACGATATCTCCAGCCTCAACATCACAACGTGCCACGATGTGCTAGAAAAGGAAACCCAAAGGTTCTTTGGCTGCTATTTCCTGTTCCTGGTGGGGCTGGGCTTTGGGCTGCCCTTCGTGCTCATGATCATCTCCTACAGCTGCATCCTGGTGCGGCTGCTGGCCAAGGGAGGGGGCCACGGGCAGGTGATCCGTGTCCTGGCCCTGGTCCTGCTGGTCTTCATCCTCTGTTTCACGCCCAGCAACGTGCTGCTCTTCATCCACCACCTGCTGGAGCCCACGGGCTGCAACAACGGCACCTACATCTCCTACGCCCTGGCCCTGGTGCTCAGCGCCTGCAACAACTGCTTTGATCCCTTCATCTACTTCTACGTGTCCCGGGATTTTCGGGGCTGGCTCCAGGATGCAGGAGGCCGCTGCCTGCGGGGGCTTGAGGCCTCGTCGGGGAGGTCCACGGAGAAGACAGCCCTGCCCCTGAGGTCCAGTGAGCAGAGCCAGGGCTGCCAGGCTGTGTCCCCCTGCCCTGGGGATGGGGGAGCCTGAAGCATGCCCACCATGAAGGGCTGGCAATAGACTTGGGCAAAAAATCCCACCTGGATCCGAGGCTCACAAGGATTTTGCCTCGGTTTTGCCTCCCTGATGACACCAGCACTGCCCAATCCCATGGGACCCTCAGCTGGGTGCCTGGCACCCCAACCTCCCCACCTGCCAGACCCTGGCATCCCTCACCGCTGCCCCTGCAGTGACCAAACACTCCAGAGTACAAATAAACCTTTATTTCTCCCTGCTGGTGGCAGGAAAGGTACAAACACCCTTGCAGAGGAGGGGCTGCCCTCCATCGCCAGGACTAACGCCAGGCACACACGGCCAGCCCTGCTGCTGCTGCGCTCCCTTTCCCCCCAGACTATGCCCCAGTGGATGCAAGGAGGGGAAGGGGAGATGGCTTGGGTGTCCTGGCCCTGCCCTGCAGGCCCAGAGCTGGAGGGGACACGCTGTGTGCCCCCGTGCTGGCAGGCACCCCATGCCCCCTGCCTGGCACGGTGCTGCCAAACATGCGGGCACCACATTCCTGCTTTGTTTCCCCTTTACTTGTGTCCCTTGATGCTGGGCTCCATGACAGGTGTGCCACCCATGAGCAAGGGCACAGTGGGTGGCAGCAGTCCCAGCCCTTCCTGAGGGGGTACCATGGCCCAACATCCTGGTCACCACTTGTCCCTTCGGTTCTGATCCCAGCCTGGCTGTGGGATGAGGAGGAGGAGCAGGGTGGAGGCTCCACGATGTGGGAGTGTGGGGTACCCATCCTCTCTGCCATGGGGTACCCATCATCGCTGCCACCGGGCATGGCTTGACCCTGGGTTGGTGGCCATCCCTTTGGCACAGCGGGTCATGTCACCGGCTGGCCAGGCCCCGGGGGTTGGCCATCGCTCTTCCTGAGGATGACACTGCTGAGCTCCTGCATCAGTTTGTCACTGATGGGAGAGGGAGGCTGCAGGCTCCTCTTCCTGGGCAGCTCCAGGGAGGTCTCTGTGGTGGGGCTGCTCCCTGGTGTGGCTGCCTGCTCCCAGTCCCTGCCCAGAGCCAGGGAAGGCTCCATGTTCCTCTCCAGAGAGGACGTTTTTGTGGGTCTGAGCCCCGGGCTCGGGGCTTTGCTACTCTCCAGGTTCAAGCCCCTTTCGAGGGACACGGCTTTGGTGACAGAGGGCCCTGTCACCCTCTGGGCTGGGCTGGCAGGCAGTGAGGAGCGCAAGGCAGTGCCTGGGGGCTCCTCAGGGAACGGGGATGGCTTCTTGGACCTGTCCACGGGGGGCACGGCCACCAGCTCTGCCAGCAGCCCCTGCCCCAGGTCCAGCGCCGCCAGCTCGGGGAAGTTCCCCACTTCCTCGTAGACAGGATCAGTGTCTGCCTCCTTCTCCTGCTGCTCCTCCAGAGAGTCCTGGTGGACCTTCATGGGCTGGGGAGGGCAGGGGGCAGGGTGAGGGGCACTGCCCACACAGCTCAGCTGTACCCCTCCGTCCCCCCTCACCCTGCCCTCCCTGCACTGCCTGGGGATCCTCGTCCCTCGCCATGGGGCTGATACCTGCAGGGCACCCACCCTCCACCAGGTGCCTCGGCTCAGGCACTGCTGCCCTTTCTTCCCCACGGCTGAGGAAGGGGAGTTTTGGTCTCTGCCTGGGAATGGTCCACGCCACCAACCCAGCACCCCTTGGTTCCAGGGTCGGGGGGCAGGTGGATCCCATGCAGAGCACAAAGCCAGGAGAGATGAGGTTCAGCTCCGTGGCCTTTTTGGAAATACCCTGATGGCAAGGCACACTTAAACCTCTTTTCTCGCATTCCTTCCATTGATACCCTATGGGCACTGTGTGCCCAAGGGGAGAGAGGCTCTGGGAACTGGGCTGGACTGGTGACCCCTTGCTTGCCCACACTGGGACCATGCAGGGACCCTCATCCCCAGGAAGGGAACACGCAGAGCAGTGGGCACCCCCTCATCTGCCACACAAGGTGGGCACATCTCTGAGTGCCCGTGGGATGCTGCAGGTGAGCCCTGGCACAGTGCAAAGCCAGCAGCAGGTGCTCCAGGTGTGCAGGTACTTACAAAGAACATGGACAAAGTCCTTCGCGTGTGCAGGCGGCGCTAGAAACAGAGGAGACGGACAAGGGGTGAGCACGGAGAGCACAGAGCAGGGCCACGGCTGCCTGGGCAGGCAGGGCAGGGCAGAGGCTGCAGGAGCTGCCACGGACACGGGCACGGACACGGACACGAGCATGGCACACAGCACACACAGCACCATCGGTGCGCCAGCCTCTCCAGCCCGGCGGTGGGCACGGGGTCCTGGGGTGGGTACAAGGACCAGGATGGGTGCAGGAGCACCTGTGGGCAGGGGGAGCTGCAGGGGCTTTACCAGGGTCTGGTTGGCAGAGAGCATGGTGGCATCGGTGCTGTCCCCGTGCAGGGGCACCAGTGGCATTGTCCCGAATTTCTGCTTGGCCAGGTCGGAGGAGGAGCGGCGGCGCAGCACCACGGGGCGCAGGTCATCGTGCTGTGCACAGGGACAGGGTGGGCATGGGGGTCAGGTCCTGCCAGCCCCCTGCCAGCCCTGCCAGCCCCCTGCCAGCCCCCTTCTGGCCCTGCCCAGCTGGGTGGCACTGCCAGCCTGCACCCACCTGAGCCTTGAGGATGCTGGTGGTCCAGTCCCACAGCTCAGCCTGCCCTGAGCACACCAGGTACCTGCAGAGCAAACAGTGGAGAAGCTGCCAGGGAGTGGGGGCAGAGGGGCCCATGTCCCCTTGTCACGTTGTCTGTGAGCCTGAGGCTCTCAGGTTCATCTACGCCCTACAGGGCTAAACCTCTGAACATCTCTGTGTGCCCAAATTGCTGCTTTAGGGCAAGGTGGGAGCTTTTAGGGCACCCAGCACCACCCAGGGGTGCTGGGTGGGTGGGGAGGCAGGAAGGCTGCATGGCAGGGACGTGGGTGGCTCCTGGAGCCTGGCTCCCATCCTGTGCCAGGGACAGTGGCAGCACCACTCTGCCTCTGAATAGCCCCAGCTCTGCCCTGACCCCAGGGCCTTGTACCACTGCTCCTGGCTGTTCCACTCCTACTAAACTGGGGACAGATCTCAACCTCCCCCAGGCCCAGGATGGCAGGGGAAGGTACTCACAGCTGCTGCTTGTCCAGGGTCAGCGTGAAACCCCACCTGGAAAGGAACACAAGGCTGTAGGGCAGCACTGCCAAGCTCAGACACAGCCTGGGGTCTGTGGGCAGGGGGCTGAGCTCGCCCCACAGGCACAGGCTTTGGGTCCAGGTGTACCCCAGCAGCTGGGCTTGGGTGCCAGGAGCAGGCACTGAGGGGTGGATATCTGCCCCAGTGCCATGCCTGGGAAGGTCCCACTTACTGAGCTGGTGGCTTCAGCTTCTTCCTAATGCCCATGTAAACCTTGGCAGCGTCCAGGGGCCACTCACGCTCTGGCTTGGCACTCTGGGAAAGGACATCCAGTGGGTCAGCCTGGCTTGGTGCCAGCCTCCCTGCCAGGAGAACAGCCCCCACTGTGCCGCTGCTGTCCCCAGGCTCCTCCTGCCACCCCTGGGGCTGAGATCCATCCCACAGCACCCCCCTACCCTCTTCTCCTTGAGCAGCAGCAGCTTCCTGTCCTGGATGACGAAGTAACGCTCCTGGAACTTGTTCCCCAGCAGCTTGGAGGGCTCCTCCCGGCACTTGAGCAGCCCACACTTGGGGGTCTCACGCTTGGCACCTGCCCAGTGTGGGGACAGAACAGTCAGGAGGGCTGGCAGGGTGGCATTGCAGGGGCACCCTGTCGCAGACATCTTTTATGAAAAATCCTTTCCTTAGGAGTTTTCCTCTTAAGAAGCTGAGAGGCCTCAGGAACAAAATGTAAACAATGATTATCTGCTGCTGTGGAATGCAATAAGTAGATCTTTGATTAGCTCATGTTAGATGATTGTAATTAATGGCTAATCACAGCTCAGCTGGCTCGGACAGAGAGCGAAGCCACAAACTTCTGTTATTATTCTTTCTTATTCTATTTTAGCTAGCCTTCTGATAAAACTTTTTCTTCTATTCTTTTAGTATAGTTTTAATGTAATATATATCATAAAATAATAAATCAAACCTTCTGAAACATGGAGTCAGATCTTTGTCTCTTGCCCAATCCAAAAACCACCGGTGATGTGCCCCTGATGGCTGCAAGGGGAAGCTCAGGCAGAGCTGTCCCCCTCTGGGGACACCCCGAGGGGCTGGGTCCCTTTGTGCCCGCCTTACCTGTGAAGAGACAGCTGCCCTCGCCGATGGGCACCTTCCTCACCAGCAGGTACGCAGAGCTGGGCTCCGGGAGCTTGCACCACTGCAAGGCCTGCTCCAGCACCTTCTCCTTGGGGTGCAGGGGCCGCTCTGGGGACACAGGGACACTCTCACCACCGTGCCAGCTCCTGTCCCCTCTGCCACCACCAGAAAGGCAGTTTGATGTTGGGTTTACTAGGATTGTGATTCATATAATACCGTAACCTCCAAGTTTTAGAAGCAGGGCTGCTAGTAGTATGGAACTGGCAATGGGAGATTCTATATGGGCTTCAGGCAGTCACAGATGCAGGCTGTATAGGGAGGCTTTAACTACAAAGGCTAGGAGAAGAGCTAGGCTTGTGGCCAGGCCTGATCAAGAAGAGTTTAATGTAGGATGTGAAAGTTTGAGTACTGGGAAGTATAGTGTGCCAATTTGATTGTGCAGGTGGAGGATAGCAATTAGTAGTGGGAGTGAGCTGGTGAGTGTATAAAATAGGAGATAAATGCCAGCATTTAGGTGTTCTGGTTGGTTCCCTCATCGTGCGATGAGGATGAGGGTGGGGAATAGGGTAGCTTCGAATGCAATGTAAAAGAGTATTTAGCTCTGAGGCTGAGAAGGCTGAGAGGATGAATAGTTGAGCTAGAATACTGTTGTAGCAAAGACTCGTTTGTGGTTGGTGGGTTCTTGTTCTAGGTGGTTTTGGCTCGCTGTCCCCCACGCCTGCCCCTCACCAGCCTGGCCATGCCAG